TAGTTATCAATAACCATTACTTATGGAATTTGCTGTCAATGATAGGTATCGATATATCAATAATTTGAAAGTCACCTCTTAATATTTGGTATATCGATAACTATCGATAGTTATCGATAAATTTGAAAAGAAATAAAAAATAAAAAAAAATTAATTTTATCATTTTTAACTTTAAACAAGTAATCGAAATAAATAGAGAGTCAGATTTTTATTTGATTTTGAGTGTTCACCACCAACGAACTTTTTTAAAATCAAAAATTAATTTTGTGTTTATTTTTATTAATTTTATTAATTAATAATCATTTCATTATACTGTCAAGAAAATCAAAGTGACTATAAAAATACAGCGTTTTAACTTTCTGCCTAAATTAGAAAGTTAAAATGCGCTATTTTTACAAATTTCATGATTTCTGAAAGTTTTCGTATTATATCTATATTTACAAAGCTTTTTCAGAAACTTTTATGCATATAAAGGCACCCCCTGGTTGTAAATCCGCTCTTCGTGAAAGCTTTACGTTAGCCAAAATCGCGTTCAGTATTTTCGAGTGTTGCTTTCTCCAGGTGAAGTGCTCAACTTAACGGAGCACTTTGAATGGATTGACACCCTGAGGAGCTTTTCTACATGTTCCGCCATCCATTAAACTCCCGCTCTCAAGTTTCAAAGTTTATTTCATTTCTATAGACTAAAAAAATAAAGTTTCAGTGATAAGTAGTACACAGGGTGTTTTAAAAAACAGTAGCAGTAGAAAAGATCTTTTGAAAAGATAATGATTTTATGCAGTGAACAGGAAAGGAAGCGTTTTAAGTATTTTATTTCATCTAGCTAATTTTTGTCACATATAATTACACGTTTATAAATAGTTTTAATTCCTGTGATGTAACTAAAAATGTTTTAATGTGCATTTTTTTTATTGCCGATGGATATTGTACTCTCTACATTCTTAATTTTTTAACTAATATCAAATAATAAAGATCTACTGACGCAAAATCGTAAAAATAAAAAATATCTAAGAAAATCTAGTTCAAAAGGTATCAACCTTAATAGTTTTTTGAAGATATATCAATTGTCCATTAAATATCGGAATAATATACTGCGTATTTGCTTATAATAATGGAGTAACTTGCTTTTAAATATAACCAATGTTCAATATTAATTTTGTTCACCCTGGTGAAGCTGGGTCAAACTAATTTGATTTAGCAAAATAGTTATTTCACTACACTACCAGTTATATCTGGTTAATTTCAGTTTAGGTAGCTTTTATTGAAATTTAAAAAAATTGTTCTTCATTTTAGAAATGTTAAATATGTCGAAAACCTTGCATTTTAGTCATATATCGAAACTCACCTTATTTTCCTTCTAGAAACTGAAAATCTTTTAATAGATAGGGTGGTCTATTACAAAAAACACAACTTTGATGTGTAACTTTTTGGGGACACCCTGTAGAACTCTCTATATTTTTGAAGATGCTTGCAGTTAACTCACATATGCTCCCAAAATTTAATTTTGATATAATGTTCTCTTTGGAGCCTCCGCGTCGTGTGAGACGCGCCAAATTCGTATATGCTCGCGATATTTAATTTCAATAGAAACTACTGTTCTCCTTGGAGCCTCCTCGTTGTAAGAGAGGCGCCTCCCATAAAATTATTCTTAAAGTTACTTAAATTTTATCAAAAAAATTATTTCTAAAAACTCAAAATAACTAACTCATTTAAGTTAACAATATGAAAATGCTAGTCACAAATTCGGAATATTTATTAAAATTAATTTAAAATATCGGCGGTGGCCTTCTCATAATTGTTTTAGGACGTGTTCAAAATTTCAGCCAGCGGCAGCGCCAGCGCACGATTTTTCTCTATCTCAGATTTTTCATCTAGAAAAATATTTAATAACTTTCAGGGAAAGCTACAGAGCACGGTTTTTACATTATTCATGGCTTCACGCCTCCTATGATAAATTGTACGAAATTCTTTGATGCAAGCATTGTAAAGTAACTTATTTCGAAACGTACAAGAAAAATGATTTTGTGTAAACACGTGCAGGGTTGTAGACATCCTGGAAATATACAAGAAATAATGTTAATCTGTAAAGTGCTTATACAGGGTGGCGCCTCTCATACGCCGCGGAGGCTCCAAGGAGAACGACAGTTTGTATTGAAATGCAATTTTGTGAGCATATGTAGGTTAAGGTGTTTCCAAAAAAAGTTACATATCAAAGTTGTGTTTTTTTGTAATGAACCACTTTATACATTAATTGATTTTCGGATTCTGGGAGAAAAATAAAGGTGATTTTTATAAGAGAAGTGTATGACTAAAATGTGAGGTTTTTGACATATTTAACATTTTCTGGAAATAAAGAACAATTTTTAAATTACAATAAAATCTCACTAAATTGGAATTTAACCGGTATAGCCTAATAAAATAAAGTATGTTACTCTTTTATTTTAAATGGAACACCCAGTATATTATTCCGATATTCAATGGAGAATTAATGTCTTTTCAAAATACTATTAAGGTTGCCTACCCCTCAAACGAAGATTTTCCTAGATATTTTCATTTACATGATTTGATCTGAGTAGATCTCTATTATTTGATAAAATCTAGGGTGGCTGTGATATGTGGCTATAGTCCAACTTTAACAACTTGTTATCGTTTTGTGTCAGTTAAAAGAAAAAAAATTCTCAGAAATTCGCCGAAAATGCGAACTTATCCTACATCAGAAAGAAATGATATGATTCTATTAGTTCATAATAGAATAGAATAGAATATCATTTTTTTATGGGAACTATTGTCGATAACATACCTAACATTAAAGAAATTATTGCAGCTGCTTTTCGAGGTAGAATTCCACATATGCCTTTTAAAATGAAAAAATCCTTTTGAAAAGACATCATTTTATGTAGTTAACAGGAAAGGAAGCATTTTGAGCATTTGATTTCATCTAGCTAATTTTTGTCACATAATTATAGGTTTATATCTAGTTTTAATTCTGTAATAATTAAAATATGTTTTAAACGTTTATCTTTTTATTACCGTTGAGTATTTTACTCTACATTCTTTAATTTTTGTTAAATTAACAAAAGGTATATCACAGCCACCCTATAGATTTTTTCAAATAATAAAGATCTACTGACGCAAAATCATAAAAATTAAAATATCTAGGAAAATCTTTGTCTGAGGGGTAGGCAACCTAACTTATATTTTGAAGATATATAAATTCCCCATTCAACACCGGAATAATATGCTGGCTGTTCCATTTAAAATAAAGGAGTAACTTGCTTTTAAAAGTGGCTAATGTTCCATATTAATATAGTAAAATTTTAATTGGAACTGAAATATTTTACTTTTAAACTGTTACCATTGAATTCTGAATATATTTTCATCTTTTTTGTAACGGGACGGATTTGCAAATATCTAAAACCTTGCATGATAGCATTTTCCAGATTTTCGACATTGTTGTAGTTGCCACGATACATTTCATATTCCAAAAATCCCTAAATACAGAAATCAATAACGGACAAATCTGGGGATTATGGAGGCCATCGTATGGGGTCCATTGTCCCAATTCATTGATTTGGGAAATAGGCATTTAGCAAAATTCTAATATTTTCAAAGTTGTGAAAGGAAGCCCCATCTTTCTGAAAGTATATTTAGCGTAAATTAGCTAAAGGAATATCTCAAAGTTCCGGTACGATAGCTTCCAAGATTTAGAAATAGCGGTAGAGAGTTAAGTATCCCTAATATGTTATAAAGATGTATTAGTGGCTCCCAAAATAAAACAAAAGACATATAGCAGTGTACTTTTAATAATCCCTTATTTTCTTTTATTATCAATCATGGCCTACTAATAAAAAAGATCATTTAATGAAAACTTTTAAATATTGCAGTAAATAGTAAAAATAAATATAGTGTGATATACATTTTTGGCAAGCTTATGGCAAGCCAGATCATGTTATTTATAAATACAGGGTGGCCCATCGAAAACGTTCCGCAAAGCATAACGGCCATGGTATTTTTTTTTAGAAAATCCAAAAACAAGCACCCTTCTTCAATCTTCACCAATAACGGAGATACCGTATGATTTAAACTAAAATGGGACACCCTGTAATTACTGGTCTAGGTAATCGTCGTACAAAACATATCTCTTTGAACCGCATTAAGATGCGATTTTTTTAATACATCTCTAATAAAGAAAACATTACTCTTAACTTCTCTGATTACCAACCCTTTTTTAATTTCATTTTATTTTTTAATAACATCTAACGTGTTAAAAACTTTAACATTCATTTAGCGGCAAACTTTCCAACTTTTTATAAAAAGTGTCACGAACAAGCAAAAACGTCACATTGCTGATTTTTTTCCAACTGAAGCAAGAAAAGCTTTTTAATTCCGATGTAAAATACCGAACAGAACTTTCTTCAACTTTTAAGTTGCCAACTCATTAAATGAAAAAAGAATAACCTTATCAAAAAATTTTCCAGAAACAAAGATTGGAAGCGGAAAATTAACAGAAAATTAGTTTCACAGGCCCTTAAATTTTTAATAAGAGGGGGAGATACTGTTTTGTATAAGATTTTTTTTTAAATTTAACTTGTTTTGTTCTAGAGAGCTGTCTTGTCGACATTTAAATAGATTTTACGTATTTTGGATTGTTGGCGTATAGGACACAATATCCATTGATATGTCCATGTAGAGAATCTTGGACACAATCTTGGGGAGTTCGTATTTTTAAGTTTCTAGACCTATTCGGTGTTGAGATTTGTGATTTTCTTTGTTGTTTCTTGATTTTGATGTCATTGAGAGATTGATTATTTGTCACTAGACGAAATGAAACCTTATTTTTGATAGAAAGTTTTCCTTTAATCCAAAAATACCAACGTTTTATTTTTATATCGAATCCAAAAAAAAAGAAAATGTAACCGATCCAGCGATATTTGTTGACGATATAACTTAGATGTGGCCCGAAAAAAATGAATTGTATAAATATTTATTATTTATTTTACCAGTATATTGGAAGAGGAGTGCCAAAAGCCAAACGGCAGTTGATATCCATTTCATATTGAGGGCTGAAAAAGAAAATATAGATTAGATTTGGAGAAATACACCTAGTTGGTAAATAAATAAAAATATACAGTATCACAGATCAAGTAGGTACGCATTAGATATGTGAGATTTTTTATTTTGAATACATTAATAATTCTCAATTGACAGTTAAATTTTGTTAGGCCCTGTATATTCGATCATAAACAACACAAAAGTCATGCTTAAACAAACAATTCTATAAGTAGGCTATGAAATATACATTATGACATTTATTATTGTGCAAATAAGTATACAGGATGGACAAACCTTTTATTTAAGTAAACTATTCATACTTTACATCACTTAAGTGTATGTTTTACAAAAAAAAACAATATTTCTTTAGAAGCCAACTAAAATTTAACTAAACATATGATCATTAGACAAATATTTGACTGAAAAACGTATCTAGTACCATCGGTTACTCAGGCTGCTAGTGAAATCATATCGGAGATGAGAAACAGCTCAATCAAAAAACGTGAAACAAACGGTAAGACACAAGGAAGGGTTGTGGCTAATTGTTCCGATCCTGACCTCTCTGACAAAAAATTAGGAAAAAGGCATATACAGAGGACGTGGTGATACTGAAGACTCATGGAATCTGCTATGAAGAACCTAACGGAATGGGCATCAACCCAGACAAAACCGAACTCATTCTTTTTACAGTGCGATGACGAGGATTCTTACTAGACTCAAAGCTTTCCTGGAAACGCAACACGGAAGAAAGGATAATAAAGGGAACTAATCCATTCCATGCATGTAAGAAAATGTTTGGTAAAAGATGGACCAATCATTACAATATGGAGCACTAGGATGGTGGGAAGCGGTACTTAAAGGGACTAATAGAAAAATCCTCATAAAAGTACCACAATTAGCAGTTCTAGGTACAACTGGAGCAAGGAACAACACAGTGCAGGCTGCGCTAGAAGCAATTCTGGACTTGCAATCAATCGACTGGCTAGTAAAGATCTGGCTGCTAAGGGTGCCCTAAGATTAAAGGAATCCACATAATCTGGGGAACCAGACCAACTACGGTTACTTGAGAATATTGCCAATGATAGGGAAAATCATGGAAAACTTTCTTTAAAGGCATTTTCTATAAATAAACTTATGTTAAACTGATTTCTGATAAATAAACTATAGTCCGTCTAGAAAGTATCCGGAAAAAAGAAAGCAACATTACAATTATCGATATATATTTTTAGGACTTGAGTTACAAAAATTATAACAAATTATTAACTTTATTTACTTATACAACCTCCATTTAACTCCAAACACTTAACTAAACGTCCAGGTACACCCGAAACTAGGTCCACACCAAAATGTTCAGTGGCGGTAGTCAAGGCCTGTAAAACTGAGCGAATCAAATCTTGTTTATTTCGTGGAGCTGCTCGTTCCACTTCAATCTTCATTAGTCTCTATATATTTTCAATGGGACTAAGGTCTGGTGAAGCTGCTGGCCATGGAATTATTGCCAAATGGTGTTCTTGCATCCAAACTTGAGTAGAGGCAGACGTATGGCATCTTGCATTATCCTGCTGAAAACACCACTCCTCTTGATATAAAACATGAGCCGTTTCAAGAAGAAAACCATTTAAAATATCACAATATTTTACACTATTAATAGTTCCATCAACTATACACAGAGGTGTAGCACCACGCTGAGATATTGCTCCCCAAACCATTATTTTAGAGGGAAATTTTGAAACTTGAACGGTAACATTTTCTTTTGATAGGATTTTTAGGTGGTTTCCACCAAGTTGGAAACAACTTTCGTCAGAAATAAAAACATTATTAAAATTATCTTCTTGAAAACGTTGACAAAAATCCATTCTTCGCTGCCTTGTGTTATTGCAGGGATTTTTTTAGCTTCCTTGATATGTAGCCTTGTCTTTTCAGTGACATGCGGACGGTTTCTGGACACATTTTTAATTTTCACTGACTTACAAATCTGCTAACCAATTTGCGAAACCCTAGGCGCGGATTCTGTTGTCCTAATGCCACTAAAGCGTTCACATTGTTTTGGCGAATCTTACGCGGTCTTCCTGAAACTGGTCTTCATATCTGTGCCATTTTTTATCCTCTTTATTGTCTCATATACTGCACTTTTTCCGAGTTCAGTCAATTGAACTAATTTTTTAACGTTTCGAACACCTTTTTTATACAAATATTCCACCATTTCTCTTTTTTTTTACTTGTGACATTATTTCTCAAATCTTGAGCCGGTTTAAAATCAACAATATTTGATAGATGATGTTGCCATATGATTTTGGTCATAGCCTACTATCGGCACAACCTACGTGATGGATTACTATTGTCTTAGAGTGTTACAGAGAAAAAAATACATTAAAATTATGAGAAATATAAAATTCCGGATACTTTCTATATACAATAAACTTTTCTCATCATTAATTCCCATACAAAGATCACTGAGAGGTCGTTTGAATTATATGATATATTTATGTGCATATAAAATTTAAAAACCTCTTTATATATCAAATTTCCGGGTTTATTTTGAAATAAGAAAAAAAAACATTAAAAACCATTTTCCCAGAATAATAAAAACGAATAAAGACTTTTTACTAAAGCCAAAAAAGTTCTTTATGAATCCTTATCCATTCAAACATTACTTTTCCGCTACAAAACACAAAAAGAGATAAAAAGAACGGTATGTCGCTTTGAAAATGTAACAATATAATATATCAGAAATGTTTGTCAACATGTCAGACTGTAACTCCTGTATTTGAGATCTTTGAACCATATAAGGCGAGTGTTATAAGTTAAAAGTGGGTCAAATAGTAATATGTTTTGAAGTCGAAGCGTTAAAGTTTCAGAAAAACTCACCAAAGGAGAATTTAAGAAGTTCTGTGATGGAAATACGAACAACTGAAACGTTGAGTTAAAGATATTCAAAATAAGTAAGTGTGGTAATAGAGTAGACTTTATATGGACTTATTTTGTATTTACACTACTTATATATTATACACTAGCGTGTACCAGCGACTTCGTTCGCGTCGAATTAATCATTTCTAATGGTGATGATAAAGCAAAGCAAGAATTCCCATTAATACACAAACTGGATAAAATTTTCTCACATTTATGTCAGCATGAGAAAAAACAATATGGCGATATTATTATATAACTTGGTAATATTTGAGGGATAGTTTCATCTCGTTGGAATTTGACTTTCGAAAAATCCGTTTGTCAAAAATAAGCTTTTTACATCAAGCAGTTCAAGCAGAATCGTGGTTAAGAAATTACCCAACTTTTTGGAACACCCTGTATGATTTTTTAAAAAATTTCAAAATATGTAAAAAAAACCAAATAAATTATGCTTGTCTATCTACCAAAATAAAGTGGTGGGGGAAGATTAGATCTATTTTTATTTAAATATTAATAACTCTGGACTGGATGATCGGAATCCAACAAGCGAGTGCTCGTTTAAAAGAGCGTTTCTTACTCTATATTGCACCATATAAACAATAATAATAAGATTTTGAACGTAGACGCTAGGGGGCGTTGTCTTAAAATTTAACAAACATTGCGCGTCTTTTCAAAAAAATTAAATCCAATAGTATATGTAATTTTAGCTGATAATAAAGAGTAGTAAAAGCTTAAAGAGTCAGCGAAAACCGCATCTTGATATCTTCTTTCAAACCGAAGATATTAGCAAAATTATAATAAATACCAAAAAATAAGCCCTTAATTACCTACCTTATTTTTACAACACGGTATCAGTAGCCCTCTTAATTATGCCCATTCTAACAAAAAATAAGACAGAAACAGTTAGTTTATTTTAAAATCGACGAAATACCAGAATACCATAATAGCAGAGGTATTAATATCTAATAATTAAGATATTAATAACAGTGAACAAGAAACGATGATTCAGTGAAGTCATGGTAAGGCTTTGGAAAAAAGTTGCTTTTGACGTAATAGTATAAACGTCAAATTGTTATTAGATCAACATTTTGATAGTCTTATCAGCGTTTTTTATCTTTTAATTGCTTTTTCAAAATGCGTTTATTATTTGAAATAGTTGAAGTTGTTGGCATTTTGAAAAAGCAATCAAAAGATAAAAAACGCTGATAAGACTATCAAAATGTTGATCTAATAACAATTTGACGTTTATACTATTACGTCGGTTACAACCTGACCTCTGTATGCCTGTATTAGAATTGTTTAACTATTCTGATTGTAATTTGATTATTTTAGCTTTCTGAGGCTGAAGATGGGAATTAAATGAATCCCAAAACATGTCGCCCCAATTTTAAATCAAATTAAATTTTGAAATAAACATCCTAAAAGATTGTGAGTTTTTTGAGTCCCCTGTCCCTCGTCAGAGGTTTTACATTGATATGTTCTCACACTGGGTTGGAGAACGTTTAGTTAAAATTAATAATATTCATCTATCAAATTTTATTTTTTTTTATTTTTTCTAAAACGGTATAAAAATTTGGAAAAGTATAAACGGGATTAACCATTTTAGAACAAGCAAACATTTTTTTAAAAAATGCATTTTTCTTAAAATGTCAATAATAAAAAAGTTTTTCCTCTTGTAAAGTCAATCAGAGGACATACTGTATACAAGATGATTCTTGTGTGCAAATATTTTTTAGGGTAGTATAGTTCGACCCCAGAAATATGTATGTTTTTTCATTTTTTTTTTAATTTTCACTAGTAATACCACTAGAGGTCAAATTATTTCCGGAAATTTTTTCGAGCTCATGAATATTTTTAGAAAATTATAATAATACTATATAATAAAAAATAATACAGAGCGAGAAAAAATGTCCGGATTTAATTTGACCTCGTGTGGTATTCGGTAAGAAAATTTCACACCAAACTGTGTTTGAAAATCAAACAATTAAAATGTATTTTTCGATTTTTGGTCGAATTGGTTATTTAGTTACTATGACAACTAAGTGACACCCGAACCTAAAAACTATTTCAGTTTTGAAGCTGTCAAGCGGCACGACTTAAAAAAATGTTTCGCTTCGGTCATGAAAGCAAAGAAGATATTCGCCAGGAGATTAAGCAGTTGACACCCGCGAATACTAGGAAATCGAAGTCAAGCGTATGGAAGCAATTTACAAACTTTTATCTCAGCTTTGTAATTGAAATGTATCAAAATTATCATGTAAACAAATAAAAACCAGACCAAAGAATATACCTAGCTAGAAAAAGAATGGACTCTGCCATACTGAAAAATGGTCCTATAGAAGTGGCGCCATCTATTGAGTAGGGCTTGTTATAAATGGATCGAAGCGCGGGCTTTTTAAATGAGCGTATTTATTGAATTTTGCTCTAAAATAATTAAATTTGATTATTAAATCTTATCTTTTACACAAATTCAACAATACTAATAACAAGTATCGTTGTGATGTGTAAAAAATAAGATTTAACAGTATAATTTATACAATTATTAAATAAAATTAAAGCCAAACATGTGAAATATTATTTATTATGTAAAGTTTTTATGTATAAGTCAAATATTTAAACGTCGTTTATTATAATAAAACAAGACCAACGTAATACGCCCAAAGTTTTGTAAATGGAGTAAATATAAATAGGTAAAATGATGGCAAAAATAAAAGACTTACATTATATTTTTAGGGCCACAAACAAAAGAAATTGTCTAATTAAAACACATATAACAAATTATAGTTTGAAAAACGTTTTGATAATAATTTATTTGATACTATTATGATTGGCGCTATGACAACGACAATATTGTTTGAGAATTTGACAATAATATGACAATGGCCGTTGGAAACTATGGAAACTACAAAAAAATTCTGATTTAACGCCATCTGGCAATAACTAGTAGCAACTTCTTAACCTAAAAATTAATTGCACTACCACCTAGTGGCTAGGGCTGGAACTATTTTATTTGAGATTTCCGTGGAAACGGTGGGACCGCTTTTGCTATTTCACTTTCCCGCCCTTGAACCAGACTCTCAAAAAGATATTCTGTCATTATAAACGTCAAAAAAATTTCCAGTATAATTCGCTGTGGGGTGCCCACAAGGAAAAAAAATTCACTAAAATTTATCCGTCGCCGTGGTTATTTATCAAAAAAACACGTTTTGATTGGTTAAAAATTACAGGTGTGGAATTTTCAGTCAAATAGCACAATAAATTAATACCATGACAACATAGGTAGAGTATAATCAATTTACAGGAAGAAAACAAAACAGAAAAAATACAGTGAATCTCAAAATCAACAAGCAATCATTTTTTTTATTTTCAATGTCTTACTTACTTATTTAAAAAAAGGACAAAGAAAAAATGTAATAATAATTGTCTTTTATTGAGATCTACCAGCCCTGAAAATATTTGTACTTATATTAGATTGATACAGTAGTGTGTCCGTTATTTACCAACAAATTGATCATTTCTTTCACGTCGTCCTCTAAATTTTTAGTTTATTCTCTAAAAAACAATAACAGACCATTATAAACCCTTAATATTCACAATAAACTTTGCCCCAAAGACGATTCATTTCCCATTACATTACATAGGAATCTTCCACGTTTTGCAAATCGTTTTATTCTCTTGATTTTGTTCTCTTGCAGCCATGATAATTACATATTATTATACAGAATTGAACGCTCTACAAAGAAGGTTTCTCACAATTTTTCGATAAACCTACTCCTTCAAAAGTTATTCACGGTTAAAATTAACCACTCGGTAAATTCTTAAATTCTTCAACTTTTTTGACAAAATTATGATTATTTTTAAAAAACTTAGTCTATTACTGTAAAAATATACAATTCTGATGGTTGGGAATTAAGAAATCTTCAAGTCTAATGTAGTTTAAACTATTTAAGCTGATTTAACTTTTTTTAAATAATGTTTATTAAAATAAATCAGCTATACTTAAATGATAAGAATAACTTTTGAAGGAGTAGGTTTACCGAAAAATTGTAAGAGACCTTTTCTGTAGAGCGTTCAATTCTGTAAAAGAATATATGATTGTCATGGCTGCGAGAGAACAAAATCGAGAAAAAAAAATATTTGCAAAAAGTGGCAAATTCCCATGTAATTTAAATGAGAAATGAATCGTCTTTGGGGCAAGGTTTATTGTGAATATTAGGGGTTACAATGGTCTGTTATTTTTTTTAGACAATAAGCTAAAAATCTAGAGGGCGTCGTTAGAGAAATAATCAACTTGGTAAATAACGGACACCCTACTCACCCAGTATAATTTCTATGATTCACCGGTAATTTTTAATAGTAATATTAACCGCATAAAATTATTCAATTACCTACCGTTCAATAAAAATCGCTGCCGATCGATAAATTAGATCGATCAAATCGATCTCACTGTCACTGCAACGGAACTCGCGTTTACACTCTCAATCGAACACTCAGTGTCATCCACCGGCCCGCTCCCTGTTTATTTATACCACGATGGGTCGTTGGACGTCTTTGTGTCATCGACCACAAGAACAAGGCGCATCATAGGAATCGGGTGTCATGATTGAGGCGCCCAAGAAATCCTTTCTTTCGCCGATGAAGAGTAGTAGAGCTGGGAAGTTTAGTTCACTTAAAGGTACGCGCACACTGACCAGCGCCGCACCCGTCGCACGCGTCTCACGAATCGCACTTTTTTTTCTTGTCGCTCATCGCATTATTCGCTCTTTTGTTTCTTCTTGCCCCTACAATACCTGTATTTGCCAATCGAATTTCTCACCAATCGCTTCCGGAGTTCTGTCTGCAGTGATAAGCGTCTTTTTTTAATATTTCTCGACAATGAATGACGACGAACAAGAAATAATTATGAGCTCCTTGCTAATAAAGGAAGAAGAAATCACGAGAAAGAATCGAAAGTTCACAATATTTGCAAACATTTTACCTTTCAGAGGGAAATTCCACACATGGTGCCCCGTGGCGTAGAGGTACAGCTCTCGTCTACCAATCCAAAGGTTGTAACGTTTTCAGTTCGTTACATGTCTTGTATATGATATATGATGTCTGGCTTACATTTCATCACCGGATTCCGTATCGCTCAGGCCTGATAATTTACTTGACGCGCCTGGCGTAATTTTTACGTTCTCTTGTCAACAACCCTGTTATCGTTTCACTGCTTCTGTGGAGCGCTGTCAAGATCGTTTCAAGGCGCCTCTCCGCTTTTAACTTTACTTTGGGTTTGGCCATCTCAATAGTCCCGACGAGAGAAATTGTAATTATTTAAATCTTGCTGTATAATTTGAATCAGCTGCTATTTCAAAGCAACAGGTAAAGATGAGATATTATCTTTATTAGATTCGTTATTATTATTGAATATTTTTAGGGTAGAGTTTTGGATTGACCCACCTTAACTCGTATTTGTATTTTGCTGGCACATTGGTGTTCTTTGTCCTCCAGAATGTTACATGGAAGAAAGGACAGTTTCTTTGTTTATTATTGAGCCCTCGGAAGTAATTCGAGGTGGGTTTATTTTGCTTATTAGACCTTGTTTGGTTTTAAACAAGAGTTTCGTATTTTTAAGGTCCAACGTTATGGTCCAAGTTACGGACGTTATCTTATGGACGGATGTCCAAGGTTATGGTCCAAGTTACGGACTGTATCCTATGGTTGGATGCCCTATGTACGGATGTCCTGTGGACGAGTGTCCCATGTAGGGATGGTTTATCTTATATATAGAGTGCCCCAGCGTGGATGTATCTTGAGCCCCATGCTGCTTCTTTCCCATTTCTAAGCCTAGTCAATAGTTACGGCTGTATTGATTCATGGTGTCCTCATTCTGGCCTCTTTTGTTGTATTGGCCAACAGGATAGCCGAGAGACAGTACAGAGAGAGCAGTACAGAGAGAAACAGTTTAGACTTGAGCACGCACGCACTGATCCTCCGCGAATGCTCAAGTGTAAACGGCTGTGCGTGCACGCTCACTCTGAATCTGTCTGTGCATGAGCAGCCGCGAACGTGAGCCGTCTGGTGTCGGTTTTTGGTCCGTGCTCAAAGGGATTTTATGTGTGCGCGAACGCTCAGTTTGCACCGGCAATTTGTTTTGTCGTGCGTTCGTGCGTGCGTGTGTGATTTTTTTTCGTTTTCCTTATTAAAATTATGGAGTGGATCAATGAATCTTCGTTATTATTAATTGAAAGATATGAAAAGTTGCCTATATTATGGGATGTTAAACATTCTTTGTATTATTAAAAAATAAAAAAAACGCATGGCAAGACCTTGTAAATAAAATTAATATTGAACATGTCGATATTAATGAAATTGCTATTCTAAAATTTGTATCTTTTGTTCGTAATTTTTGGTGTTATTAAATTTTGTAAATATTCAAAGGCGGGCCTGGTCATTCTTGTAAAGTTTTTGAACTGATCATAGCCCTCCTCAGACACTAAGTTGTTGCAGTAATTATATCGATTTCTAAAAATTTGGGTTTGCCACCAGCGACGATGTTTTCGATTTTTCTCCTTTTTAATAATTAAGCTGTGCATATCAATGACTGCAGCCTCGACTCTTTCTTGGTCGTCCATTATTTTTGCCAACACAACTCTGCTGTGCGCGCACAAATGGATCACTTCATTCGTCGAAAAATACGTTTTTAATTTGAACGGAGCCGAGAGCGCGAACGAATGCCGTGCGCGCACGCTCAGCTCGTGCGTGCTCAAGTCTAAACGCACCATTTGAAGCATGATTGCATAAAAAACAGCTAAGTGTAGATGTAAGTTCTAGTTTTCAGTCTTAACATAATAATGTACATTTTAAATAATATCGTACAGACTATGTTTAGTGGTTAGATCGTTAAGAACATTTATGTCGATTTAGTAGTTACAATATGATTTAGATCTTAGGTTTCATTACATTACGTCTTGTAATAGTATTACTTTCTATTGATATTATTATTGCGCTATTTTAACAGACGAATAACCAAACATAGATTCTAGAATCTATATGTTGCAACATCTTCGATTTAACATCATATAAAATATATCAAATTAATTAAAGTAATGCTTAATGCAAACTTTTATACATTTTCTATAATTTTACATGTATGGTATTTTTCTACAGCCTTTTCATTGAATATATTTAATATTATTTCTACATAGCTTTTTACTCGACATATAACCACTATAATAATTATTAAAATTGTACAATGCTATTTACCATCAGAATACATCATGAATGAATATAGTCACTAGTTTTAAGTAATAAACAACTGTGTTTTCTTTCTCTGTTCATGGCCTGGCACCCAATATTTGTATTTTTGATTTATTATTATTGATTAGTTTTCTTTCTAGTGAAATACCTTATCCACGACTGCTCTCCGATGAAAAGCTGCCGTTCGCAGTGGTAGTTGTTTAAAAAACGGTATAAGGTTGTGGGTTCGAATCCCACACCCGGCATTTCATCAGCCGACTATTTTTAATAAAATAAAAATAGTTTGGGTACCTAGGTCGACTCAGCCTTAAATGAGTACTTGGGATTCACAATCCTGAGGTAATAATAGGCGGTTGAAGCGTAATGCTAGCCACATTACCTTCCTTGTATACCGAACGGCTCTAGTATGGCAAGCCTACTCCCAAGGCGTTAAACGCTATATACGGGAGCTATTATTATATTATTCCACACATTATTATCATATTTAATTGAGGACGAACTAAAAATTTTTCAATATTTCAAAATGAGCCATGAAAAATTTGCGAACAATATAACGAGACGTGTAAATGTGTATGTTAAAAATATATAGGTAAGTTTTATTGCAGATAAAAAAAATAAAATCAAATCAAAGTTTACAAATCACAAATTAATTGGAACAAATAATACGAAAATTTTACGAAAAAATGCATTTTTCCTCACTTCAAGCTTTCTGTTATTGTCTAAAAATTCAGAATGTCTATTTCGTTTTATAAGATATTTCTTAATTTTAGGGACCTAAAGTGAAATATTCTCATAACATATTCAAAGAACAAACTAAAAATCAAAAACAGTATCCACGACAATTTTCTGTGGTAATTACACCGGCTGTGGCAATAGACAAGGCCGAATCTATAGTCGTCGCCTTGTATCATATCTCGGATCTGCCGACTGAATAGATTCCCGTGAACTAGTCTTTTAATTAGTTCCTCTCAGTACTTTCGGTCCGGGACAGGTAACATACGACTGGCACTCTCCATTCCCGCCTAGCATTGGGCTACGATCCCGCTTGCCGATCCGTACGTAAATTAGTCTTTTATTTAGTTCCTCTAGTTCCTCTAGGCCCGGATCCAATAACGGCGTCGCATATTATTATATATGGGTCACAGTTTCGATCCCGGAATAGGCCCTGAGGAACTAGTTCTTTGAGAAACCGGGAACTAGTTCCTTTCAATGCAGGTTGGGAGTAGCTCATTGGAACTAGTTCATTCACAAACTACACACCTCTACATACGAGATTCATACCGGATCCAATAACGGTGTCGCATATTATTATATATGGGTCACAGTTTCGATCCCGGAATAGGTCCTGAGGAACTAGTTCTTTGAGAAACCGGGAACTAGTTCCTTTCAATGCAGGTTGGGAGTAGCTCATTGGAACTAGGTCGTTCACGAACTAAACACCTCTACATACGAGATTCCATCTTTTGAACTAGTTCGGTTGTGAACTACACAGCTCTACTTTCTTCTGCCGGTGAAGAGCAGTAGCACGAGCCTGAGCTGACACCCACCAATCGGAAGGGAAGTAGTCAATTATGCTGGTCGCGGATGAGGTCGTACCTTGAAGGATTCAAAAATAAAAATATAAACATTAGAATTGCATGTTTGGGTTTGACAAATAGTACTATTGACGTACTTCATAAGAGAGGGCGTATTTATCGCTATGATAAGAAACATCTGCATGTTATATTTTTTTTAATTTTTGAGTAAATAATTACTAATAGTTCTAGGATTTGTAAGAATGTGCATAATAAATTTTAATATTTAACCGTTCGTAAAATTCTGAAATACTTTACATACAAAAATTGTTAATTTTTTAATTCTCCGTCCAACAAAAAAATACATACAGGGTGTTTCATTTAAATAAAAACAAAGAAACATTATTTTATACCCAGTAGAAGTAAAAATATTTTCTTGAAATACATTCTTAGTACTGGGTGGCCAACTAAGAATGGACGCCGGCTGTATCTCAGAAACTACTTATCGTATAACTTTGGGAAAAAAATTCTAATAAGTAAATCGACCAAGGGAAATCGTTGGAAATTATTTTCAAGTTCAAAAAATGTCCGCTAGGGGGCGTTTCTCTGATAGCTAATCAGAAATCAGCGTTTTTCTCAAAAATATGCAGGTGAACAGGTATTTTAAATATTACCATTGTAATCATAGAGAAATTTGTAATTTTTTTGACATAGAGCATTTTGCTCTATCTTATAAAATAAAGTGGTGGGGGAAGGTTAAATTTGCTT